CCTTCCCTCCCAAACATGTCCACGCTAAAAAAATTATAAATAATTATTTTTAGCTGACTGTTACACCTAATTTGCATGCCTTATCACAGTGAGGAAGCGGAAATAGCTGAATAATGTTGGTAGAGAGCATAGAATTAATGTTTTAAAGTTTCAAGATGATCCATATCAGCGATAGCCTAAAAAGATGCAAACAAAGGAATATACTGATGATCTTATTATGAATACCGTCCCGGAAAGAATAGCATGAACAAACTTATTTACTGTTGTTCCAACAATGATCAGTGCAGTACTATTAACATTCAAGGAGTATTCGCGATTGTCACTGTTATTTCTCTAGAAAATGATATGATGCAGCTTCATATAGTGCATCAGTGAAACTGTTTTTAAGAATTCTGAACAAACCTCCGCATCATTGATATAATGTACCTCATCGAAAATGACCCATTCTAATTCGCGGATAATTTCCGACCCATTATAAAGCATAGATCTGAAACGAATTCAAAAATTATAAATAATGACATAGGATAAAGGTACTGCAGAGATGCCGTTATGCATCGAAATATTTTTTCAAATATGTATTTTTTAAAATATGTTATATTAAACACTAACAAGAAGAGATCAGTGGTCGAAAACAATCTTTGAAAGTTCCACATCTATAGTTATATTATATGAAGTAGAACCAGAGTGAGCACACGTTTCCTATATAGATTAACTCCCAGAGTGCGATATAAAAAATCACGTTTGCAGTCCTCTACACTGTTTCCTCAATCATTCGAAAAAAACCAAAATTAACCTTAAAACTTCTGTTGTCATTATGAGACAAAAAGCTTCTGGATGCAGTTGTATATCACCTGTTATAAGACCAACATCTTCGAAAATCAGCTTAAATTCGCGAAATTTCTGATTTGAAAGTGCTTTTATTGGTGATGTATATATTGCCCTGCAAAAAATCAAAATCTGTGTTACTGTGACAACATGAGGACTAATTCAATTAACTCCTCTAACTGATTACATATCCAGATTATCATGATAAATCATAATTGTTTCGAGTTCTTTACAGAATTCACTAGATCTGTCCGTGACTTCCTCGGGCAAAGTCACAATGGCCAATGTAATGCTGTCGGTGAGTCACAAGTCTTTATCACAAGTAAATTACTTTGACTATAAAATTAAGCATTTATATTACAGCGAGAAATAAAGCCATTAAAACTAACTTCATTTTTCTATATTAAAACAGCTTAAAAATTTAAAAATCAACTTTACCTGGTTTTATGCAAACTGCACAAAGCAACAGCATATTCAGCAACAACGGTTTTACCGGCCGAAGTATGAGCGGCAACGAATACGGAATCACCACGATCTAAACAGACAACTGCCTGCTGTTGGAATGGATCCAGTTCAAACGGATACTGAAATATGGAATTTACTCCCGAATAGCAAACATACGATAGAGAGTAGGTGGAAGGGATCTAGAATTTTGCAAAATTATTTGTAGTACTGCCTTATTGTATATTACCACATTTATGCTGTTAAGAATTAATTTGGTCATGATCATAAGGTGAAAAAGAATTGTGGAACAGCTGTGAGACCATACCGTTTAACTCACCCATTAATTAGATACTAGCTGTTATGACTGCCAGCTGTAGAAAACCAATTAAAGCTAAAGTGTTTCTGGATTGAAGGAATATAAAATTTATGATTTTCACCTTTCTTGCCATATTGTTTTTTAATACTTCATAATCGTCAACATTTTTTGATGTGTTCAAAACATGAGCATAAGAATATTCTTTATTTTGCGTTTGTAGCTCATCTTTTCCACTTGGTGAAGGTTCTACCTCTTCCGCTCTGATCACCAGTTGCTTAAAATAAGAAAATGATTAATAAAACACAGCAAATCACATGCACTTTCTAAAATTCCTTTTAAATTAAAGTTATGCGAACTATCAAGTAAAATTTTCCTTACTTTTCAATTAAATTAGCAGTGCTTGTATTTCAGCAAAGAGAATCTAAATTGTGCTTATTGTTAATGAGAAACAGTATACATTATCTAGCCGGTTATATTATTAAACAATTTCGGAACATTTTTACAATATTTCGTCCAGGAGTAGAATTGTAAAAAAAAAGTAATTCTTTTCAGTATAGCATAAAATAGGTCTGTCTAAAGAGTATAAAATAATTATCAGTTATATTACTATAAATTGCAAAACAAATCCCTCAGATTTTGACGACAGAAAACAAAACAAGGATTACATCGAACTGCACTGGAAAGTTATGAAGAACTTCAAAAAATAAAAAAAAAGACTTTGTATTAGTATTTAGCAAGTTTGCGCTGCAGTATGGAGTTACTAGACCGATGCAGCTATAAAGTGAGCGCAATTTTTCTACGAACAGCTCAATGGAAATTCAAAAAATCTTGCCTCAAATTCTGCATCCACTTCTTCAGTTTCCGACTCATTACATGATTCTTTTGTTATTACAGAGTCACCTTCGACCATCACTGAAGAATTAGCTGAACTATTGATGTTGACAGATTCCAACAGCTCAGCCAAATTATCATTAGCAAAATGACGACTCTCTTGAGGAAAGTCACGAATGTCATCTTCAGTGAGACCATTAACGTTTAATCCAGGAATGTAAAAAAGCAATTCCGATGTAGAGCATTCTGTAAGATAAAGCAGGAAAGTTTCAAACACTGAAATGCTTGAAAAATAAAAAGGACCATGTAATTTCTAGAGACTCGTTTTTCTTTTTGTTTTAACAACTTCAGTATCCATAAATTCAGCAAGAAAAATAAAGTCCTGCTTCAAGATCTGCTTT